TGAAGTAGTACGTGCTATTTGCTTTTTGCCAGTGCCTAAAACATCAATAAGACCAGTGGAAGCTACTGTTCTGACCTGGAGCATCACTCATGCACTCCCATCTTTCCACATCTCATTTTCACACAAGATGCTCCTTCTTATAGTGTGTCTCTCTTATTTCATTAGGAAACTGGGAATAGTAAATAGTTGTCGTTATTAGTTGGTTTGAATTACTTCTGAGGGTTTTTTAATATTCAAATACTTTTGAGCACACAGATTTCCAGTGTGTCATCTTTGGTCCATCGATTGGCTTCCAGTGATCTTGAAAGTGTTGTCACTGGAAATTAATTACTGATAAGGCCAAACTGCACTTAATAGCACACCATCCAAGAAGTGTCCACACTTCTTTAGGTCTGGCTGGCATAGAAAGTAATCCCATAAGGAAGTACTCCTAATAAACAGGATGACTGTCAAGGATGTAGGGCTGTAAAAGGATACTTATTAGTCATTAGTAAAAAGTTCTTACAGCTTGCTAGAAAAAGCGTGTGGGTTTGTGGCTGAAAATTTTCTTCTAACAGGCATCACCTAAATAGGTAGTGTGGATAGGCAAACTTCCAATGATACATAACTTACCCTAATCCATAGAAAAGGAGATTATTTAAAAGGAAGCTGACAGCAGAGAAAAGATGAGCCACAGGGACAAAAATGAACCTTTTTAATGATTTCAGAGCTGAGGTATTACCAGATATAGAAATGGGTAGGCAGGCCCAGGAAGAACAGACTCAGGAGGAGGCATGACAATAGATATGCAAATGTTCCAACACATCTGAGTATTTACATCATTAGTAGGATATCTCCTACGTATCCAAAGCACATAGCAGGAATGTTGTGAGCCATCAGGACCTATAATCACTCGGTTATGTATTCTGCATTGTATCAAGGTGGTCTTTTATTTGGGGTATTTAAACACTAATCTGCATGAAACTGCTGTCTTTTTACCTTTCTAAACAAATTTTTCCATGTCCTCGGTTCACCTCTGACTTGATCTGGCCTTGCTTAGTTTATATTTCACCCTTTTCTCCTTTTTTACCAAGCTGAGTAGGAAGAGCAAAAGAGACTGAGAGATTTGCAATTTCATCAGCTAATGTTAACGATGCACTAGGAGGGGCTGGTTTGTTATAACAGCAGTAACAAAGGTGCTCAGATTCTGTGAAGTAATGCATAAAATGCCCTTTGCTAGAGTGAGCACTACAAAGAAAGAGAGGACAGTGTAGACAGCCTGACATCCCTTCAGATCCCCCAACTGTGCAGCACTGAATGGGCCTCCGAGCTACAGGCAGATGTCGCCTGTGGAAGGGTTGCCCCATTTCAGTCCTTTGAGCTATTACAGCATTTTCTTACAAGAAAACAACTCTGCTCATCACTTCAAAGCTCAAGCAGAAAGGATGTTGACATGAGAACTTCTTGCTGCACTTTCAGATAAAGGCATGGACACTTCAAGTGGCATCACCGCTGGCAGCGAGTGGGAGCTGCCTGCAGGCTCCTCTGTTTTGGTTCCCTGGCCAAGGTTTCCCTGCAGTGAGGGGATAAACACAACACAGCACAGGGATAGCACAGGCCTGGGCACATGCAAGGTCATTTTCAACTGTTATGTGAATCCCCAACTCAGAAAAACCTTAATCATACAGTCAGGTCACTGCTCATTCCTTAAGTCTGGAATCACTTTCCAGAGTTTCTCCACAACTTGTAAGCCTCACTACTCTTTTTTTTTCTATTTTGTCTCCTTACCCAAGCTTAACTTGTACCATTTTTAAGAAAGGGACGAGGGCAGCAAGGTCCAAGCACTGGTTAACTCTGACCTAACACATCAGAGGAGGCCTAGATAATTACAAGTTCGCTGTCAAATGAATCCGATAGTCATCAAATATTATGCTGAAACTTTACCTGAATGAGAGCAGTCAGATCCAGTTAGGTTTACTCAACCCTCCAGCCTTGCTGCACATGCTGCCAAAGTGAGGTTGTAAGGGAGCTCCAGAGGTGTCCTAACCCAGCTCCCTGTACTCCTCTAGTGCTCCAGCTTCAGACAGAGCTTCTACTTCTTGGGTCCAGCAGAAAACCTTCACAGAGGCAGTTTACTCTGCAACCACCTAATAATGCAGTGCTTCTTTCTCTGGAGAACACAGTGGTATCAATTGCCAGAAACGACACAAACCATCAGCTAATTTGACACAGCAATCCCTTTCACATTAGAAGTGCAATTCTGTTACCAGAGTACCAGCTGCATTCACATATACAGATTTGTACTTCTGGAGATGTAAAAATATTTCAAAGCAATAGTTTAGAATTTCCTCTGGAAGTGAGCATCTAACCTTTTGAGACCTACAAAGCTCACGAATTGAACATTTTGAAGCCTTTAGTTCCAACATTCCTACCTTCTTAAGTCTTTCCTGCTAGGACATTCCCATTTACAGATTTGTTTGCTCTTTTGACCCTTTTTATTAAACATTAAGGAAAATTCTTTCCAGCCTGCAGCTGAGAGGTTCCAATTAAAACCCACTATTACTTCAGATGAACAATAAATTTCTAATATAGCCTTTTATATCTCCTACATTATATTCAATCTCGTTCCTTGGGAGTTTTTAATTTGCATTTTTTGTGACTGTGGAACATGAAGAAATTGTGTTTCTGAATTCTTCATTGAGAACTCTTTGTCAAGCATGTTAATTTAGAATACAGTGAGATATATTAATAGCATTTCCTCCAAATTAATGTCTCATTCTCTTTCATTTATGTTGTCTCATGTCTCCCTGAGAATTCTTTTTCTTTGTTGATGAACCTAAGTGATTTTGTGCCACCATCAAATCTGCCAGCTCATCTCAGCACCTCTGTAGTCTGGGATGTAATCTGTTAAACAGTGCTACCTTTTTGGCATGAAAACCTGAATATTTATCCTCACTCATTTTCTCGTGGCCAGTTTCTGCTCTGTGGCAATGCTTTTCCATCAGTGGAAAATCCCATCCCCACAGACTGTGCTGGCAACAGTGCTGGGTTCACATATAATTTTACAATCCAAACAAAGGACTCCACAGATCAAAACGCAGATTTTCCCCTTTATGTCAGCAAGCCAAACCCCACTGTAACACTGGAGTTTAAGAATGCCTTACTAGTATGGGAAAGCAAAACCAGGCAACACCAGCAATGGGTTGTTGTGTCACAAGAGCAAGAGCCACCACCCAGGCATGAAACCAACCCCTGGACTCTAAGACAGACCACCCAAGGCACCCCAGCCAGGAAGATTCACCTTCACACTCAGCTTTAAGTGTGTGACTTGGCTTAGCAGCTGCAGGAAGCTGGTTTAACTGGGCAGCTCTCAGCTGTCCTCACACAAACTAGAACGTTGTGTATTTCAGGTCAGGCTTAAAAGCACATTTTCCACGTAAAGAAAAAACCCCAGAAATAATTTTAATATAAAATGTTTTTATTGTTTTTGAAAACATTTAAAAAACAATTTTTGAGCACTTTCAATAAAAAAAATAACTGAAATGCTACTGCAATATTCAACTACTGTAGTTTCAGCAGTACAACAGACAACAAAACACTGGGGAAGAGGGGAGAAACTGGATTTCCTGCACTAAATGAAAATGTGGAACAGGGATTTTTCTTTCCTTACGGTGCAGTAAATAAAGCACAGTATAGTACAAGACTATTATATGAACCTCAGATGCACTGCACAAGAAACGCTTTCCTTCTTTTCAGTTCAGAAGTCAGTGCTTATTGCAATTATTTGCAAATTATTTACTTCATGAATTCTTATCATGATAAAATGATGCAAAAATGTTTTTCAACACCAGAACAATAAAAAATAATCCAAGAAAGGAACATATTCAACAATAACTAAGCTGAATTAGTTAACATAAAAAAGTAAATAACTTGTGAATAACTATGCTCACCTGGTTAACACTGAACCAGCTTCAATACAGCAAAAGAATAAAAAAAATAAAAGTGGTTACAGGAATATATCTAGTACTGTACAAGATTAAGTCATTAACACTCATGCACGTTTTGTGATCATGTATTAACATGGTGAAGCAAACTAAACTTAATTTTTCCTGCTGCAATATTCTCATGTAAGAGAATCAAAAATAGAAATATCTCATTGAGATCAATGCACATTGCTACATAAGACAATTTCACCTGTCACTTTTAATGACATTTTGCCTTTTAATAATGAAACACATTAAAAAGTTTTTTTTTTGTTGTTTTGCCTTTTTTTTTTAATCTGTGGGCCGTATTTGTTGCATTTATCCTAAGGAATGTGCCTGCCACAGGTTCAACAGAATTTTAGTGCAATATATGAACCCAGAAAGTTTGCTGGACTAACCAAGCAACCAAATTTAAAGTGTTTGCTGCAATACTGTACACAGGGTACAAATTCACTAGTTTGTATACTTTAGCAAAAACTGCTATCAAAATAATTTATTTCTCATGTTAGTAGGAAGCCAATAATGTAAACAAGGGGTCAGAATTGTCTCAAATTCTTAGTTTTGGAGTATCTGACAAAGACAGGCTTCCATTTGTTAGAATCACAGAATTTTCCTTTGGGTATTGCATACTTTGGTGTGCAGTAGTGCTCTGTCTCAATGTATTGTAAAGAACTAACTAGCACTAAGTACAGGGACCTAACATTAATTATAACACCAACACACAAACATCTCTAGAATGATACATACCAATGTACAAAGCTGTGCCTGTGCCTTGGATTTTACTTGAAACAATTCTTATAGAATTTAATACTTCTTAAACTAAACATATTTTGCTTTAAACCCACTGATTATAGAGTATTTCTGCTAATTAAGTCATGTTAGGCCCAATGTAACGCTTGTATTTAAAAATAATTTTAAACGCACTTTTAAAAACCTTTGGTGATGGCTGCATAATTTAGAACACATCAGCTTTAAATCTACTCTTGCTTTTCTGAGAAATCTTTGTAAAAAAACTAGTAGTTGGGCAAAACCCCCAGTGTGAGTGACCCGAGGTGGGGCTGAGCAGCACCTGGGCAGCTTCTCCCTACGGCGCTGGGCTGCAGTCACAGAATCAGAGAATCTGCTGAGCTGGAAGGGACCCTCCCCCCTCTATCAGAGTAGGTTTCACCTATTCACAGTAGTGCTGGCACTTCACACAGGGTCAGGAAACAGAAACAAAAAGGTGCTGAGCGTCTCTCAGACCCATCCTCTCAACCAGGGTAAGAGGATGTTCAGCACACCTCTGGCAAAAGGCCATGAGCAGGCCCAGGACTCGAGCCCTGCCTTCAGCAACTTCAGTCTACAAGAAAAATGGTTCAAGTCTTACTGACAGACACCTGGCAGGATAACAAGCAGAAGGCTACCACGCAGCTTTTAGTCTCCTCCCCATTTCTTCAACAAAACTTATAAGAGTCACTTGGTCTTAAAGCAACACACACTATCACACATCCCCGCGCTTCCAGGAGGGATCGGAACTCTCCAAGGTTGTTTCCGATGAAGTGGCAAAACTTCTGATGCGAGCACAGTGAAATCAGGCCCTCAATAAGGTGCTATAGCTTGGCACAACTGTTTGTCCCTGCAGAAGAGGCCACGGACTGGTGATGAACTGGGGCAAGAGCAAGAGCACCTCCAGTGCCAATGCAGCAGCACAAGCTGAATCAGCACCGCCAAAAAATGTGACCAGTACTGGGATCTCGAGTCATTCGCAACAACTGAAGAAACAGAAGACCACCAAGACACTTGTAGGAAAACACTAATCACATGAAAAATATGAACATCATTCCCTTAAGGAAATCTACGGTGGGGTTACTGAACCTCCCCTTCACAAATTCATGATCGTTCATTCAAAGTAATGCAAATGAGGAACATTTCTCCTGCTCAGTTTTCTGCTTAAGGGATGGTATTGTGGCATACTCAGTGCACCACTTCTTCTGTAAAAACCTGCCTCTGCAAGTCCTCTTTCTAGCATCAGGGCCATGGCTGGTTAAGTACCTCTCTCTTTTGATCATCAGAGAGATCCATGCCATGCTGATAAAATAAAAGGTCTTTTTTGGTTCAAGTGAACTAGTGAGGCAGAAGTCTAATTCTCATTTTCCAGAGGGGCAGCTAAGGACTTAAAAAAAAATTAGATTCACCAACCCTGTCAAATCACTTTTGAAAATGGAGTTCAGGCTTCTAAAACAGTAAGCACTTTTAAAAGAAGTTTTACCAAAAGAAAAAACACGTCTTACTGTGTATCTGTAAAGTGCCTGGCAGTATTATGGCTCTGTATGAAATATTTTTAGATCAACCACATTTTCTAATATTTTAATAATCTTTTGTTTGAGAGAGAGTGAGCAAGAAGGACAGAAAGGCTCAACCTACTGAAATACAGAGAAAATAATGTCTTCCTACACCCTCCACTAGGTGAGGAAAGAGCAAACGTGAATAAACGAATCTTTAAAAACAGTATTTTAATGAGCTCCAGCAGCTCTTTATTAAAAAAAAAAAAAGAGGGAAAATATGTTCCTTCTCTAGCATTGATAAACAGTACCTATCACTTTAAAATAGGGTGTTGTGCCTAGATTAAATCTCAATGCTTAAAATCTTTTCACATGAATTTTACCTAATATAAAAACACTGATGTAAGAACTAAAATATCAAGTATGTAATGAATATTAATGGATAAAATAACTACATAGATTTCTCTTAAATAAAAAAATTTAGTGCATCTTTCTTTTTCCTTGATCATCCCCGTTAGCTTTTCCCATCTCTGTGTTTTACAGGAGATGCCAATGGCACCAGTGCTACAGAGATTTCCCACAGTTCACCACTGAGCAGTGACAGCTACACAATGATGAGGCACCTGCAAGTCACCTGGTCCACTTGTACCCACTCCCCACCCCAACCTACCTGCAGGCACCCTGCATTTCAAACCTGAACAACGAAGGTCAGTAAGGATCATCTACTAAGGAGTAACAACCAGTACAAGGTATGGAAAGCCTACTAAAGAGCTCGACTTAAAACCCTCCCAGAGCATCAACCATAGCTGTCATCGCTGGCTGGCCATTAACCACTTCTTTATTTGCTAAAACGAGAAATGTTGAAGGGGAAACACTATAAAGTTCAAATTTTAATACTGGCTCTTTGATAGCCCATCACCTTCAGAGATTTGTTTAAAATTGGTTAAGACTGCCTTTTCCTCGCTGAAGAATGAGCAACAGGTACAGCAAACTTTTTTTAAAAATGCCATAATACATAGCAAGTGTTTCTGCTGCGGGAGGCACTTCCATTAAGACAAATACAATACGTCTGTCTTTTAGATACAGTGTGCTACATACATATTATAAAACAAGATTAACCCAACATTTCAACAGCAGGATGATCCTTACTCTCCATCCACTCAAAACCTGATGCAGTCATTGAGTTAATGGATTCATTGCAGATTTGTTGAAACAAGGGGTCATTTTTTAATTCCTCCAGTGTAGCATCATCGTCTTGTCCCTGCTGACGACCTGGATCAAACAGTAGATTTGTGTCTAAAGTGTTCAGATCGTTAATGCTGCCTGAGAGCTCGGAAGACAACCTGATGTCGCTGGGAAAGACAGATGCAACGTTATTGAGATCTGATGCCACCTGATTCACCAGCTGCTGGTTTGTTGGCAGACTGTCCTCCCCTAAAAGGTCTTTTACAGTGCTGCTAAAATCTAATTGCTGCTCTCCGATGTCTGATTGTGCTTGGTTATCTCCAGAAGAAAAACTGATCTGATCGGTGCTGCTGTTTTTTGTGAGGTAATTTGGTGTTTGGAATTCATAAACTGAAGTGCTGGAATTGATCATACTTTGTGGGTTGGCACTAGGAAAAGCGGCGGATGTCTCCAAAATCTGAGTGAGATTCATCCTGGCTGTGTAATTTGAGGGCATGTTGTTCATTCCCAAACCTCTCACTGCATCATCGCTATCAGAATCAAGTTTGTTTAACAACACATTTGTTATTTTTTTAGTGTTTGTTTGTTTCTGAAGAGACGGGAAGGCCGTCTGCATCATCACAGTCAAGGGGACTGACTGGCTTCTCTGTGCTATGTTATTGGCACTGGTGTCTGCATGGATATTAGCAAATACATTGTGAACTTCAGGAGTCACTGGACTTCCAAAGGGTGTCATATTAGAGCGTGGTATATTTGACACGGGATAAACGGTGCTCCCACTGAGATTGCGCTGGCGATGGACAGCAGGGCTCACGCTCCGGCACCTCAGGCTGTTGTTGAGAGAGGAACCTGTTCCTTTGCTGTCCAAGGGAGCAGGCACAGCAAAGCCCTCCTGCTTAGTGGTGCTGCTGACAGGGGCTGCCTGGTGCTGCACGGGTGACACGGGGGTCACGCGGCCGAAGTGAGTGTCGTGGTGGCGCGGCTGGGACTGGTAGGACTGGCCGGGGACGGCGAAGGCGTGAGGTTTCCTGAAGCGATCTTCCACCAGCTCCTGGTAGCTCGTGAGGATGCCGTGGTTTGCAACCGAGGAATTGCTCACACCGCTGTAGCCGTTGTTCATCCACTCCAGCTTGGTTTTGTCGGGATGGGTCGCCATAGGCCGCTGCATCGGCTTCACAGGGCTGCTTGATATAATGCTGGCATCGTGGTAAGCCATGCTGGAGCTGATGGGAGTAAATGCAAACGGGTTTCGGCATTCCACAGGACTGGGAGGGACACTGCTGCTGCAGTTTGAGTGCGGTGTGCCAATGGGCGTGTGCCGGCTGCTCCCCAGAGCACTGTCCACGGGAGTCGTCTGAGCCAGCCTTGAACAAGGGCTCTCTCTTGACATGTTCTGAGATCCAGCAATCATTTCAGAGGTGGGTGTTGGAGTCGGAGTGGGGGTGGGAGTGGGGGTAGGGGTGGGTGTGGGAGTGTGAATTGGAGTGCTGTTGTTGTGGATCGAATGGTAAAAGTGCGTGCTGCTCGGGTGAGATGACACGGGAGCTCCTTGAGCTGCAGTCTGACTCTGAATTGCCATTCCTAGACAACCCCCATAAGGATGGGAATTATTCATGGACATTTGCTCCTCCATGAGCACCAGCTCCTCCACGATGCTGTCCTGGGTAAGGTCATCATCAAATGAAAAGAAGTTTTCATTTGATTGAGGGACTGTATGCTCAAACTCTTTCAGCTCAGACTGCAGAGGTAACTGATTTGAAGACTGGGCTTGTATTTGACTCAAGGAGTCCTGGATCTGGCTCTGTAGCTGCTGGCTGTACACATCCTGCTGGATCCCTTCGCAGTGCACCGGCTCCCACGCAGATTCCTGCAAGTCACTCGAGCCAGAGTGCCCAGCCATGGCCATAACACTGATATCCTGCTGCTGATCACAATTCACAGATGCAAAGTCAGAGGTTTTGGTGATATGGTGCCACGTATTTGGGTTAAAGCTGCCATCAGATTTTGAATCATTTTCTATGATAAATAAGTTTCCTTCCAATTTTACTTTTATATCTGGAGATGATGCTGATGCAAGCTGCTGTTCTAAAGTAGAATCACTCGTATTTAAAGTGGTGCTCAAAGAAAGGTCTGTTGCTAAGTTTGCTGCAGCTGCAGAAGGTACAGGTACTGTCACGGGTACCGTGCTGGGGACTTGAGCAAGTGTTGCTGTACTGTCACTGTTAGCTAATGATCCAACCTTCAGAGCCTTCTTAACACTGTTTGCTTTTTGACTCTCCACAGCATTACCAGCTGAAAACTGCTCCACTAGTGGTTTCTTTACAGGTGGTACCTGGGAATCCTGAACTGTGGAAGGTTGTCTCTTTCTTGGACTTTTAGTGCATGTTTTATCTTTAATCGTAGACTCACCAGAAGGAGGTGAACTGATGCTGGTGCTGGACAAGTTTTGACTGGCAACTGTGAGCTTAAGAGTGCTTTGATTATTGCCTGCTGAAGAAACTGGTGTGATCTCATTAGACTGTGTTTTATATTTGGTCCCTGCTTCTTCAGCTCCCTGATCACAGCCCTTACCTGGTTTTGCCTCCATGACATCATCAGTTGAAACCTTCAAGGCTGCAACCTCAAAATTAATTAGCTGTGCAGGAGGCAGGTCAGGGGTTGCCTTTATGGATTTAGACACATCGGAACTCTCTTGGCCCTGTACTGAGTTCTCATCCAGCAATGCTTCCGGTTCCATTTTGATCTTGACTGCAGGCGCAGCTACAACAGTACTAGGCTTGGATCCTGGAGACTGAAGTGAAACCACAGACCCATTTTTGATCTGAGGACCAGTCCTCCCTTCTTCCGCTGCTCCTGCACTGCTGCTGACCGAAGGCGCCTGTTTGACGGGCACGCTGCTGCTGCTCGGGGCAAGGGATATTGCTGTCATTTTCACCACGTTTAGGGAATTCACGTGTGGAGCTGGCACAACAGTCTTGATTGGGCTACTGGTGAAGAGCACCGTGGTGGGAGAGCGGATGGTGAGAGCACTGGTGTTTGCTGGCTTGGGTAAGATCTGCGGGTAGCGGTGCCGGGCAGAGCGGTCCCCGACGGGGCTGGCGGGGACGTTCTGGGGAGTCTTTGGTGGCTGCTTGACTGATTGCATGTGCTGAGTGACCACCTGAACGTTGAGCGGCAGGACCTTGCTATCAGACGATCCCATGGGACTCGGAGACGTCACCAACTGCCTGGTCCTTGGCACCTGGATGGAGAGAAAAAGAACAGGTGTGGCATTGAAGCAGCGAGTCCCCAGAGCCCATGGACCATCCCGGCCCCAAGCACTGCAAAGGTGAAGGACCACACAGCTCAATCACCAAAGTCAGTGGATGTCAGTTTGAAACAAAGTAAGCTTTTCTACTATATACAAGACATTTTCTACTTGTCTGCCTAAGGACTGGTAGATATATAACCTCTATTTTTAAGGCATAGGGCACTGGTCTACACACTACTCTGCACTTCTGCTAATGAAATGGTCATTCTCGTACAATCCTTCACCACGTGGGACAAAAAGACAGACAGATAAAGGCTAAAGAGGAAAGGATGTGTTCAAAACACTGCTCATTGTTAAGGTTTCAAAAGTGAGTTAAATACAAACTATCAGGCAGAAAAACTGGCTTACCTGTGGAAATCAACAGCACAGTGAACATCTTAAAAACAACCAAGCTTCCCCCACTGCCCAGCCCAGTTTTGTATGGCCGAAAGACAAAAATGTTCCATACTACAGACATTCACTCAAAAATAAAATTGTAGCTGTCAATAAATGCAGTGGGCCAATGAAAGGCAATTTAGATTCCATATTAAGACCTCAGTGAGTCACACAACTGGTGTCAGCTCTCTCATCTGGTTAAACTTCACCTCAAGGCTAGCTTAAATCCCCCTGTCACAATGACTTCAAAGATAAACTTGGCCTTTGCTGTGCGATCACAGTTCTGCTGCCTCCATATCAATCCTGTGACTCGTGTGTATAACACAGCCAGGACAGAAAAGCATCAAGGGACCCAAGCCTTTGAACAGAAACTGTTCTTCTAACCCTCTGACACCACTAAGTTACTGTCAGTGTACAACCTTTTCATCAGGTGGTTTCTCTAGAGAACTGCTGGAGAGCATTACCGGAATGGGGCTGGGGACAGCTGCCACGACAATGCCAATGGGTGGAGGAGACAGGATGGCAGGGCTGCCATTGGAGATACTGCTCACACCGTTGGTGGTGGCACCTTCGCTTTTCTTTGCTGGAGACTCTCCTGGCAAAGGAGACTGCAGCTTCTGTTCCTGCTGCTTCTTCTGGATCTTACGCTGCAGCTGCTGCTTGGCATCGACAGGAGATGGCAGAGTTTTCACTTGTGGTTGAAAGGAATTACTTTCAGCAGTAGGTATAAAAGCTGAGGGCTGGGGGATCCCTTTTATTCCTGAATAGAAAAGAAGAAGGATGAATTATAACCAAACATACCCTGTCTGCTGTGGTGCCACTTCTGTATTTAACAACACAGAATACATGGCAGGCATCTCCACAACCTTTCTGGGAACACCTCCTCCATGAGGTACACCCACCCACTTTGTGCTCAAATCTATTCAGTGTTTCAGGTTACTTCCACATTTGTGGCAAAGTCTGTTAGACAACCTGGGCATTAGCTGCTAAAATACTAAAGTACTGGCCTCTTGTTTTTAGTAATCCCAACTGGCAACTTTTGTGTCAGCAAAATCTCAACCCGGTGCATTTCACTAAACTGGCAGCAGAGGGCAGCGGGTACGTTTCAGATGAATCTAAAATCCATTATCTGCCGTGGTTTTGTTTTGTTACCTGTGTCTAAGGCAGCTTTAAACGAAAAATGTTTCCAGAAAGTCACAGAGGAGCAGCTCTGAGCAGATGATACTATCTAATGGCCAAGGCATTAAATACAATGCATCTAGTATCAGAATGGATCAAAACCTCTGTGTGGTCAGGGATAGTGGTGAAAGAAGGGCAAGAAGAGAAGTGTCCAGGGAAAAAAGGAAAAAAGAGAAGAAGGGAAAGTTGAAAAAACTATGGAAATTAGAATGGGAGAACATTTTTTTCCGGAGAAATTACTTTGCTGATCATGAGCAAGCAAGTGGTGCTTCCAGGGAGAAAAACAGCACAGCTGGTACTACTTTCTCTTACAATCTCACATCACAATTATGATCTTTGTTTATTAAGAGTCAAGAGGAATAGCATGCTCTTTCAATGACCAAATAACCTTACTGAACTGCCCCTCTAAAAATTCTTTAACATTGTTTAATTTACACCTTGAGGTTACACAGTTTTAAAATACCACCTAATTATAAATTAATCAGCATCATTTTACTACGTTACTAATTTTACTAATGCTAATCCCAAGTATTTGGTTTTAGATGTTCAGCACATGCTTAGGAACTGTGATCTGAACACATTTTGCTTGATAGGCCTAGGCAGTACTTCCAGAAGCAAGTCTGGGGGCTGTGCCCCTGCATTTCCCTCCTCATCCTTTATTTTTGTAATTTACTTCATCCACAGCCACCAAAACACACTTAAGATGATTAGGTGACTCATTCTGAGCATGCAGAAGGAAACAAACCACACAAAAAAAAATCTGCTCTTGACAGAAAATTAAGACAGACAATTGTTTCCAAATTAGGGCAAGGTATCAGACAGAAACACAGCTACACCAGCAGTCTGTCTACAAACCAGCACTGTAGCAGCCCCAAACTCCTGATCTAGCCAAGTACATAAATTCAGCAAGTACTCACAAGCCCCAAAGTGCTTTAAAAGACCAGGTTCCTCATGGGAGAAATGGGAAAATCACAGACTAAACCTGAGACCACTGCTGATTTTCACATCTTTACCCAGAGCACCAGCAAGAAGAGTAATTTGCAGCAATGTGACCAAAATCACATAACTGCATGCTCAGTGCTCAGAGTCGTGCTTAAAGTTTGCCCTGAACAGAAGTCCCTCCTCAAACCAAGATGTTTCTGCTATTAATAGAGAGATCCCCCATCTCAACAATTCAGCATTATCTCATTACCTGCTGGTGCCCCTGCCATTACTGTTAAAGCTGCCATGGACTTGGTACCAATATAGTGACTTTTGACAAGGAAACGAGCCAGTTCCAAGACTGTGTCAAAAGGCTGGCTCAGCACTTTCTGGGCCCATTCACAAACAAGCCGGCAGGCCGCAGAGATGACTTCCTCATCAGCACTTTGCAGCTGCCCAGATGGCTCTGCTCCATCCAACTAAAACAAACAAACAAAGGAGGAAAGGTTACTTTGATTATTAAGGGTCATTGAGGCACAAAAACAAAACCAGAGCAAACAATTATCAGAATCACACAAAAAGTTAAGTACGTTCACAGTTTTTCATGAAGTTGAGAGAATGAGATCACATCAATGTAATACAAAATTAAATGTCTCAGTGTTAAATCTAGTGGTTGTTTCCAAAGACATCAGATGGAGCTGACATCTCTGGAAACAGTCCCAATATCTGGACCACCAACAGTTGATGCTCCCTGTATCCAGAGTCTTGTCAACTCAGCAGTCATTGCTACCCAGGATCTGCTTCTTTCACTGGGATCTCTCTTCCTAGCATTGACTTGAAAAAAATAAAAAAACCCCAGTAAAATCAAAACAGAATCATATCTTATGGGTGGCAACACTGTAAAAAGTCTGCTTTGCCTCCTCAATTAGTTTAATAGCACTGTAATTCATTACGAACTTCACAGAAAAAACAGCAAACAATGGTTCAGAATATAAGGATCATAAAGAAAAATCTTAAAAGCTACACAGCTCTTCATTTGTTTTGAAAACATCAGAAAGAAAAACAGTGTAATAAATGTTTATTTTCAGAAATATATATATATATATATATAAAGAAGCAAATATGTATCATACCCCATCTCCAGTCTTATGAAAGTCAAGGTTGGGCAGTGTTGGCATATGCACAAAAGCCTTCTTCCTCAGTCCACTGTAGCAATATGTGAACAACAATTAAGGTTTAAACTGTGTCCTTGTTAACTGGGGGATGAGAGGGAAGGGCAGTAATTTCTCTGATAACTCTCATAAGCTTTATAAGCAAACTCAACACAGAACTAAGAATTACTGTCACTAACATGGTCTCACAGCCAGAATCAAAAGCCTGTCAATGGCTGTGTTTGGGGCAGGTCCTTGGGTTTCTCCATCAGTGCAGAGGTGCTGGGTGTGATGAACTGCATCTGATCACACAGAACAACGACTAAACCAGGCCAAGCAGTTTCACTTAGCTACTCAATATTCAAATCATTAACATAAATTTGGACTAAGCTCTCTTCCTAAAACAAGATGGGAGAACGAATTTCCCAAAGTTAATCACTATTAAAATATGCAATCCCAAATTTAGGATCTACTTTATTTCCTTCTCCTAAGGGACTTCCACATGAAGTTCCCCATGACAAGGATAAAGTGCCTGATGAGGACATGTCTTCCTAAGATTTCACACAATGTTTGAGGCACTCTCTCCCTGTGATAATTCTTCTTCTGTAAAAATATGAACACAAAGACCCAGACTGATCCCATCAAATCAGTACACAAAAATACACTCCCTCCATTCCTTGTACTCACTTGTTTATAGGTCTAAGTATTAAATCAGCCTTTTTCTAACTCTCCACAGAATTACTCTGGGAGTTCACATATGGTGTTTCTTCTCTGTGACACACAAATCCTTTTCAGAATCACTAATTTTTCACATTCTGTAAATATGTTTGTATTTCTCTTTCCTAGACCATGGAGTTTGCATTTGCTTGCATTAACCTGGATGGAGCATGATTACAGTAAAAGAAGTGTAAGGAGCCTGGGTATTACAGTAAGAGTGAGACAAGGTCATATTTTAATCATTCTGAATTAGAAACTTAGGAAACAGAACTTAAAGAGATCCCTCGGGTCAAGCTACAATTACATCATATGATTTCTCCCTTAACACTTCTCTAGCTCTATCCAGAACATGACTACTAAGTTTTGGATTCCACTGCTTGATAATCCAACACTGTATTTTAGGAAACAGTTTAACTGACACACATCTCCTCCATTTACTACAACATGGAAGGTTTTCTTCCTCTGTAGAAGACAAGTAACTCTGGGTTGCCCACTAGCATTGAATTCTCTCTATAAGAACATGTTTCAAGTGAGACCTGGCAAAGGGCAGAACTGCAGCACATCCCTATCATCACTGTTACTTCTTTGGAGTGGTTTTTAATTAGAGCCTACAAGCACCTCAATGCCTTTTAGTCTTTTCATGCTCTCTCTCCCCTGCTTTACTGCAGTGGCTTTGCCTGCCCAGCACGTCAGGACACAGCCAGAGCTGACCCTGGGGAATGCACAGCAGGTATTACATTACTGCACAAGGGCTTCTAAGGACTCTCAAGGGAAGGTGTAATTCTCAACTTGGAAAAGACAAAATTGGTGCTGATGAAAAAAAAACTGCTTTGAAAATCACTAACAGTTTTGGTTCCTTTATTCCAATATCTCTCTTTTCACTAAATTATAAAACTTCTTTGATTCCTCGCTGCTGTGACAACTGAGCGTCAGAACCTAAATTTAAGTACTTGTTTCCAAAGTTATATCCTGCAACATAACACTGCCACAATTAATAATTTTTAAAGAACGTTGGAAAAGTGTCTGCATTTTTTATTTAACATTACTTCCACATTTAGCTGGTAGTTAAGCCATAACGACAGATGTTCCCCAGGCAAGTGCAGAACAAGTTACTGAGAAGTGTTCTAGCAAAGGATATTTTGATTTGCCTCTTGTGCCTAGACGACGGGCCTTCATGTTTGGAAAGACATTTTTCATGATCTTTCCAAAGTCAGCAGCGCTTAATGGGTGGTAGCCAAGATTGTCACAATAGCTCCTGCAACAAAGAGAAAGAAAGCGTGAATGGAATCAAAGTTAACACAAGAGGCCAGCCTGCATGCTAGACCCCATCAAAGGCTTTCAAAAGAAAACACTTATACCCATCCATAGTTAGAATCACATTTAACATTAATGAAGCTATCCACGACGAATTGAGTGCATTAAAAATGTATAAACAAGAGCTATTAATACCATAGTTTTTGCCTTGTTCTCTACTGAGTTCAAAGACAAGTCATGTGGAGACATAACAAGCACTGGCATTATCTAGAGCACAGTTAAGATTTACTCCACAACTTAGTTTGAAGCATCTGTTTCAATTCACTTATTTTAGGACATAATAGAAACAGAGATGCTGTTCTAGCAAGAAGCATAGCTTGAGTGTAGTAAGGCCTGAAGTCCTGCAAGAATATTTGAAAGGCAGTAGTTAAGTGCAAGTGCAGATATGTCAATGTCCAGAGAAAGATTCTGCCCATACAACCTCAATTATTTAGACCTTAAGAGAACTACATTTAAAACAGACTTTCCCAGGGAACCAGCTTCACCTTTATAGATGTAACACAAGCATGTACTGAGAACCTCTGTACCACTACTGAACCATGAGAATGTTTGATTACAGACAACCCTATATAACAGTCCTTATATTACTAACAGAGATTCCAACTGCTGCTGCCAATGAAGATCATCATGTGACTAAGAATACAACCTGATGATACAGGGGAATAAAGAAACAAAAGGTAATTATTTTGCCAAGTTTACTTATTCTAGTAAAATGAGTTTATCTGCCTTCAGCTCTCAAAAATAGTAGAAGGAATTTTGTTTCGACATCTGAGACATTTAAAAAATACGTCCATGAGGCAGAGAACAAAAATCGTTGATTTTGCTGCAAAAGGTGAATGTTCTGGAAAATCACAAACATATAAAGCAAAAGAGGAAACCATGAACTGCCCTGGAAGGTTTACCTGCCCCACAAGGGCTTGAGGCTGCACAAAGACAGGAACGCCCTGTGCTGTGGCACAGACACTGATGTGCTCTTCCCAGCCAGATCCCTGACAGCCACAGAGCCAGCACCAGACAGCAATGACCTCCTTTCCCATGAGAAGTCCTACCAGCAATACACAGAAACAACCTGCCTCTAAAAAGAAGAGGTGACTGCACACGATCCACTGTGGGTATCAGCAGGAGTGCAGAAAAACAATGACTTCATACCCCACAGTTGCCTGCTGTAATCAGGTACACACACGCAAACCAACCTCTGGAAGGTCAGGCAGACAAAGAAAAAGCAGCAGTCTGAAACAGATGCTTCATCCCCAGCATCACCCAGTAACAATCTACATCCAAGCAGGCCAGTCGAAATGTCTTCTCTGCAAGCTGTAGTTCTATAGAAAGCTGTATGTATTTCTTGAGATACTTCCACTGCATTTACTTCCTGTAAAAATACTAGTTATTACAGAGCAACTATCTGCTGCTTTTACCCTGGCTGTATGTTGGTATCCTCCACTTGAAAAGCACCACCACAGATGTAATGATTGTGATGATGATAAACAGGAACATTTATGCTCTTTGGTTCTGCCACCCCCTGCAGAGCTTGTGTGCACCCAGCCACCCCAGGAACCAGGGTCACTGTCCAAACCAGGACACGTTGCCTACAACACAGTCAGGCATCAGTCTGGTTTCTATATGGGACATCAGGAAGCTTCATATCCAATTTATATACCAACACATTTCATTTCAACATATGTCAGTCACAGAAGCTGGATTCTGGATATGTCCCTTTGAAGTTGTTACAAAGGAATTCTTCTCCTGCCTCACTGTACCCTCTTAGGAATCAGACGTTGATTTATGTGTAATAAATAGATCTCTGTGCGCTTTTTGTCCCTTGCATCTTGCCAGGCCTCAGCAGATTTAAACTCTACTCTGAAAATTCCTAAAAGGTGGGTCTTTGTTGCTCACTGATGGTGGTTACAAGACTTTAAGTCTCAACTAGCATGCAAAGGAGGGTTCTCTGAATTTCTCTGCCAGGGTCAGCAGAATCTTTGACTGAAACTCAACAATGTCAGCAAAATAAATTTAAAAAAAACCCAAAACAACCTAGCAAAACAACAGGACTAGGGACCTACCAATCTATCAACTTCAAAGTTAAAATTACTGCCTCCCTTGGAGAAAATAAATAAATAAAATAGGAATAAAATTATCTGCTCCTCAAGTCTAGCACATCTGGTGCAAGACAATCACTTGCTAGCAGCAAAAACAGTTACACGGTCTCCTCGTATCCGTACTGGCAGCTCCTGCAAGCTTGTGATTTCTGAGCTATCAGTATTATCCTGGAATTTCAGTTTCCAGACAGATCATCCCACATGGCCCCTCCCCCTCCCGGCTTGGCCCAGAACCCTCCATGTCCATCTGTGGTCTCTCATTGACTTGACAACACAACCCAGGAGTGTCTCCCCTGGAGCTCTTCTCTCTGCTCCTTGCACTCTTGGCACATCCTGAGCCCAGGAGCTGTGTCGCTGTTTGAAGGGTGGGTGGGGAACAGAGGGGGGGAGGGAAGGTCTCCACAGAGACAGGAATGACAATGGACACGCGGTCGCTTTGTTCCTTTGTACAGAGCTCCCCTACAAAATAACCAGAAAAGGCTTTTTTTTTTTTTTGTAAGATCTATGAATTGAATGTACTCCAGACCTAGAGTACACTAGAAGTGCACCTGAATTAAACCACGAAAAAAAAAATTAACCCAAAAGCTAATGAAGATGGTCAGGCTACGCAGCCCAGCTTACAGCTCCCTGGGCAGGAAAAACCATCATGAATAGCAAATGATAAAGAAACTACAGAATGAAACAAAACAAAATTCTTGGTTTATCCACTGTAACCAAAACAACTGGTCCCCAAAAGAAACCAAGAACCTTAGGAAGAGGTAGGCTCTCATTAAGCTGACGAACAATGCTCAGAAATGAGTCCTAATAATCAGGTAGGATGGAAACCAGATGTCTGAAAACCAACAGAGAAATGAAATTGCGGGTCAGACTCCCAAGAGTGGGGGCAGAGATGGGAACAACTGCTTTAGCTGAAGTTTGATTGGTTTTCAAAAGAATGTATATGTAGTTACTTATGACCTAAGACCAGACTTTGCAACACAAGAGGGCCCATCCTGTTCCTATCAGGGAATTTTATATAAAAACACTGGATAAGCACTATCAAACAATATTAGTATGTACCTTGTGTCCTTTAAGTGCTTAGTAGACATGGTATTCCTATACCCACTGCCCTCTTCTGTGTTAGCTTCTGAATATTCCTCTAAGTTGTTGGTTAATATTCCTAACACTTAGTGTACATAATCTATGCATCAGGTGGCATCAAGTGGCCCAGCAGCCAGTAAAGCAAGGATTAATGATTTACAGACTAAAGGAAAGAGATACGGGATGACTCCAAGACCTCCTAATCCATATTAAGCGTATCAAGTGAATCTTCAGGGCACCAAACTTAAATATGAATGACTTTCTTCCCTTGCGTCACAGCAGCAGAAGCAAGATAAGAGGACTCAAGTGTTTACTGAAGGCTCAACAAATCGTTTTATGGGCAAATAGGGATTTTGCCTGCATAAATACTGCAGGACTGCACTTGGACTTGAGATCCTAAATCTCTAAACTCTAAAGCTAAATCTACACCTGGCCGCGTCCAGAAGGGTGTTTACAAGATATCCAAGTAAAACTGACTTACAAGAAAACACTGAAAGGATCTGATAGGAAGCAGCATCCATTCACTGCAGGCCAGATAACATGTCAGGCAGCTCCCCTTGAGCTCCCATACTTTCCAGCCTGAATTCCTCCCTCCCAGAGGAAGCTGGCAGAAGAACTGTGTGTGCCCAACAGAAACACAGCTTCTTGCAGCTCACTGTATTCTGTCAGTGCAAGTGGCATCACAGCACCAACAAGAGGTGAACCAGCTCTCATCTACCTCCTTTCTGAAATTCAGCTGCAAGCTCTCAGCCTTCCCAAGTGCTACTGTCTTATATTAATGATGCATTTTTAATTTATTTTATCCCTTTCAAAAGAAAGATGAATCCTTTCACTTTTATCCAGTTAGAGACATGAATTCACAATTAAACTGAAGAGTAACAAAGCAGAAAGAGGAGTCACTGTATTGAATAAGCTTAGTGAGAACAGGCTACTGAGACATGGAGGAGCTGAAAACACTCAACATCTGCCAACAGTGGACTTGGGCAGAGTGCAAGCTTCTGACTCTCCCTCTTCACAGAAAAAAATCATGAAAGGTGATGCAGAAGGCCAGTAGTTTTGCAAGATTTATCTTGACCAAAATTTACAGCAGGACTGGAGATGCTGGTATGATGCAGCATCTTCTGATGCCTTGCATTTTGATTTATGCATGCAGAGTGCATAAGCCTGCTCACTGTGAGCTCATGCAACATCCATCTCTGCACATAGAAGAGAGAAATTGTAACCTCTTAATATAATGGAATAAGATTTGAGAGGTCTTAACATCCTTAGGTAAAGAAAAATGACTTATAACTAACTCTTATGTATTTATATGCCTGTTCCCTACATCCCACTCCAAGACTACTTCTCCTTTGGTGTGCAAGAATAGCTCATGAAAATATTCAAAGAAACGGAATGTTTTAAAAACAGAACAGAAGCTTTCAAAGGAGAACAGATTCCAAACATTCGATATTTTCCTGAATATTTGCTTACCACCCTTATTTTGTTAGGGGGGGAAAAAAAAAATACAATACACAAATACTAGATGCAGCTACATACAAAGCCATCCAAATTTCACACTCCACAATCTGTAGATGATGATTTTTCCGGGCATCTGCAGCTTGGCACAGCAAGGAAGCCAAGCAGATTTGTTGCTGAAGCAGGCCATAAATTATTTAATAAGAAATATATTTAAGAATAAGGCTCCCATCCCTCTCTCTCCCGCACAGCAGCTGCCGCTGTTGCCGTGTCTGCGCGAGCGGCTGCTGCTCCGGGATTGGCCATCCCGGCCCGTCGGAGCCATTGGCTGCACTTCCCGGCTGCGTCACCGCTCCAGTCCATGGCAGGAGCTCAGAAATAGGTGTGTGCATGTTTATCAACCCCGGGCAAGCGGATGCCATCGTGCTTCAGCTCAATCAGAGTAAAAACACTTGAGCGGAGAGAGTTAATTAAAAGGAGGTATTTGCAGAAGGCAGCCCTGCAATAACAATTACCGTGGGGTGAGTCCTGTAGGCACTTAGGAGGCAAAGGGACTCAGCTCGCTGCAAATTACTGTAATCGTTCAGATTATGGAAATATTCATACTAGATCATAAATCTGTTATTCATCTTCAGGCAACTGGGCTGAGGATGATTATTTTTTCCCCCTCCCCCGTGGGGTATGTTCTGTAAATGAATTCAAATCCAACTTTCATCAGACAGCTCCCTCTCCCTTGCTTCTAATCGCTTTCTCATTACATGGTAGCTTTGAGACTTGACAACACAGACTCGCAGTGGCCTTGGTTACTGGTTTCATACATATTCAGATATATTGTGCCTCTGTAGAAATCAGGTTTGCTGCAGGAAGGTCCAATATTTATGCATTATTCTGGAAAGAAAGGTGTAATGGGCAAGACTGTGTGTGCAAAATAGCTGCATTTCCAGAGGGAACAATTCAGCCCCTCATCCTTGTTAAGGCAGTCATGTATGTATGTAAACACAGGCAGACCAAAATGTATTGTAAGATAGTCACTGATGCTTTTTACCTGCGCTGCTCTGTCCACAAAACAAAACCAATATTCATACAGGTATTTACTTGTGAAGAAGTACTTGTACCTTTCCTTCAGTACATACAATGCACAATTCAAACAGCACAGCCTTATCTCCAGTGGCAGAAGCAATGAACACAGTTTGCCCCACTGCAGCTCGTGTGTTCTCAGGCCCAGCAGCGTGGAACACCAGGCCCTGGCCGTGTACACCAGTGGGGGACCTGCAGGGTCAGTGCCACAGAACACTCTACACTTGCTAAAAAGCCCTATGCATGGATCCAGTCCAGGAGCACTCACTTGTATTCATCATAAACCTCCTGCTTGGGAAGGGACGTCTCAGGGTGCTCTTCCAGGGTGTTCCGTATCCAGGAGAAGGCGTGCATCTGCTGGGCACGGCTGGATGACATGGAGAGCTGATCACTGGGGAAGGAAGCAGTGCTGATGAAGATTCTATAGTTCCTCCTCAGTTACAAGACTTAATAACTGTCTGCCTACACAGGTGGAGACACACCAGAGACAACAAGGGCCAGCACATCTCACACATTCAGCTATTTCTTGAGCCACGGGCAGCAGTTATCCCCTATCATCCATGATTTAAGGAAGAGACTCCACGCTCCATTTCTTGACTGACACACAGATATGAGTACACAGTGGCAGGTAAGGGTTCTACTTCCCCTCTTAAATTTATTATTCCTTACTGGCCACCTCTAAGCTTTTGCCCACTTAGTTTGCCAGCTGCCCTTTGGAAACACCCAGCTCTCCCAGCAGATACTCAGAGTGCTTCCTATAGGCACTTGCCTGCCTATAACCATCTTACTGGGAACATATGCTAATTTTGTGATGCTGTGATCTGCAGGTTGGTTTTCTAGACCTTCCTTTAGTCAAACAAATGTTACCAGAAATACCATTAGTTTTTTTTCTTTCACCCCCCATGACATTTGTGTTGCTATTTTATCACTTCACACATAAATAGCGAAGGAAGGATTACACTCGGGCTGTGAAACACTTTCTGTGATGACTCTTGCATTTTAGGAGATTTATATTTACAAGCTATTCATGCAAAAAGATTTTAAAGTTTAAAAAAACCACAACTAATCTTCAGGAAGAGTCCTTAATGTTTAATAAAGGCTGCTTCTGCTACCAGCCACATGATGTGAATGATTCCTCAGCAGTTAAGTGCCACAGGAAGTAAAGCCAGTTTTCAGTACTAGCTGCTCACATTTACAGTCACACACATACCTTTTGTCTCCATTGTTGGGACCCGAAGGCAGCTGAAGGTAGAGGTAGAGTTTCTCTAGGTCTGTAAACTTCTCAACTTCTTGCTAGATAAAAAAAGTGTTTTGGTTTGCAAAACACAGGGGATGGGGGAAGAAAAAGCAAACAATAAGAGTTGAGCTAAACAGCTAAAAACTGTCATCTGACAATGTATTCTAAATAATACAATTTTAAACAAGAAAAAATTTACTTAAGTGAAAGAATGTGACTGAGCACTCTGGAACTAGAAACATGATTTCCTATTTTAAACACACTTGTTACAATTACATGCAACAAAAGCAGAATCTGGAAAAATGTCAACAACAGATCACTTCTCCAACCAGACACGAAACATGAAAACTTTGTCTTCTCCAAGCACACATGAAGCACCTCTGAGCATCCAGCAGCACAACCAGCTCTGCTGTAACAACACAGGATGTCAGCCCTGATCCTGCAATCCACTATACATGGTAACAGTTAAGTGTCACAGACTTCAGCAAAGACATTTTAAAGCCTATCTATGTACGTATTGTATTTTTTTGTTTCCTTTGGAAATGAGTTTATGAACTTGTTACTGCAGACAAACCATTTCGTTACATGAATCTCAGTGATGCCAGACTCCTCCAGCTGAGGATCAGACACCAGAGGGAGTTTTACCCGGTGATTGCAAACAGTGATTGCTACACACAAACTAGGTTTTGATCACCTGAAACCAGCTACATGGACTTAGAAATATCAGGAAAATCAGTTGTGGTACCGTGCTCAGGCCTCCTCAGTGGCAGCAGTGCCAGTAAAGCCATGCAACCAGGAGCAGAGGGGTTCTCCTTCAGGAAGATGTTGCAGAAGGAGTGCTTGAGGTGGGGCACCATCAGTACAGAGTCAGAGACTCACAGGATCCCCTTTTAAGTCAGAATGCAGCTTTTGGACCACTGTTAATTCTCTTTTTCTTTACTGGTGTCTTACTGCCAACGTAACCTTTTCCAAAATGAAGAGAAGAGAGAGGGATCAACAGGCAGTGAGGCCTGGTTGTTTACTTCAGCAATGAGCAGAATGAAGAGTGAGGAAATTAAAAACCTGAACTTCACTTCAAACTGGGGCTCCCTCCCCGACCCAGTCATGTCCAGATCTACCTCGCTTCAGCTGGCACAAAACTGACAGCAGCACCAGAGAGAAGTGAGCTCTGACTTCCCCTCCACTGACTTTGCACTCAGTGCTCAGGTCCCCTCCCTGTCCCCAGACTTTAGGCAAGGACCAGCAGGACTTGCTGTCCAGGGAAGGGTCTGGGAGAGCCCAAGGGCTGGATAATCCCTGCCAGCTAAACCAACCACAGAACTGCCCCACAGAACTGGGCCACCAACGATGGAGAGATTCTCAGAGCCAAGACAAACACTTCCAGCAGCACGCAGGTAACAGACACTGGATTTGTTGCTTTTATAAGCAGAAAACCACAACATTTGGTTGGATTTTTTTTCCTCTGACAAACTCCTGAAATTTGCTGACACTGACTTCTGTGTGGCTCTACAGCAGCTTAGACAGCAGTGGTGCTCAGACCACCAAATATCCAGAGAGGTATTTCTTAATAATGGGTGCATTTTGTCAAATTCTCTGTTCTTCCTTTCCTGCATGAATCACGGCATTTGAACTGGTGGGTTTTCCTTTAGCAAACCCATTACTGAAAATACTAGTGTTCTTCAAAGATGTTACAGCAAATCAACCATTTTTGAGGAGATTGAAATTTAACAACTACAAGAAAATTTGTACTTCTTTATTAGACATCCCCTTGCTCAAGGAATTTAGGTCTTTTTGTTTGAAATGGCAAAAGCCCAATCAGCACACCAAAGGACCCGGTTAGGGTGGGATTACCTTGCACAGTAAGCACTAATCCATGAGACAAAAGCATCCCATGCAAAACAAAAAACCCCTGATGACTCTGACACCAAAGCAGAAGACAAGCTCTCTCTTCCAAATCTAATGTGCCTGCGTGCAGCATAAAACGTGAAGTTTTAAAAGAAATATTAAACCTTTCATCAAAATACACTCAGTGCCCACTGCAGTTGAAGCAACTTCTATGACCCAGCAGGACGAAGGGCTGCTTGGAAGGGCCCTGTCTGAGCCTCTCTGCTACACAGGCCCTGCCTGTCAACCCCCCACAGTCAAGAAAAACAAAACAAGAAAACCCAACAACATATGACTAAAGAAAAAATTTGACTGGGACTATGTTAGCAGAACCTTTTCCAAAGGATGCCAGTGAGCCAGCTACTCTCAACAGCAAGACCCCATCCCTACAGCTGAGGGCTTCCTCACATCCTCAGCAGAGGCAGCTGGACAGTGATGTTATCTCACTGTTTGCACCCAAACTCACTCCTGCCCGTGCACTCTCCTTTTGGCACAACTCCTCCAGCTCCCAGCAATGGCTGCAGGGAAGCCCTGGGAAGGCAGGACCTCCTCAGAGCAGGAGAGTTAACAGGAGTCACAGGCAGTTCACAGAGGTAAATCCTACCTGGGTGGTAATTAGATAAACCTAAGCTTATTAGATGAGACTGAATCTATTTAGAGAAAATCATCTTAAAACTGAAGAAGTGGCAGCGAAGAGATGGAGTGTGACAGTCAGTGCAAGTAGATTCAGGAAAGACTGCATTTTGTTTAGTTTAAAGATTTGTTAAACATTGTTTTGTTTAGTCTGTTTTCTCTAAACATTTCTAAAACCCTCAAAACCTGGTTTACAGTCTCGGTAAGTACAGTCTCTTTCTTCTTCAGTCTCAGCTGACATTCACTAGTTCTCAGTGCTGAAGGTCCGGTGAATTCAGTAAAAATTGCAATTACTGTTACTGGGACTGTTCAAAGCATCAAAACTTTCATATTTTTTAATGCAATCAGCATCACAGAATTTGGGGAAGTGGAGGAACATTTCAGCTGGCCTAGTAACTACTGACCAAGAAGAAAAAGATTCATTCATTCTCAGTTTTTCTTTGTGCTAATTTGGATACATATGGAAAGAAATAAAAAGAAACAGGAACACAAAATATACTATAAATTCCCACCCCCCAAATAGGTCAATAGTGTGGAAAAAATAGGTCATTAGAGTGGAAGAGAGTCACAGCATCAAAAGGAAGAATGTGATGCTGGCATCATCTTGGACAAATTCCCCTTTGTGCAGCCTGTTAAAGCTTATGCTACTGTTGTTCTAAAAACCACACAGCGACTACAACGTCTGGGGAATCCTTTTCTGCTACTTAAAAGGATCTAAGTAAAAATCCTGCTTGAAGTTTCTTGACCTTGATTGACTGGTTCTATCAAATCAGATGAAGACTGCCTAATTCTCCAAAGGCTATTTATAAATCATATTTCTTGAAGCTGCATTAGAGACACGCATAAGCATGTAAACTGCTTGCAGGACTGAGGTGGAAACCAGCACAAAGCATTGCCTCTGGTACTCCTGCTCTTCACTCATTGCCTTTATCTTCTGTAACCAGAACCACAGAAAACAAAGGAAAATGCAATGAAGATGGGGAGCAAGCAGTGTTTATACTTATTTTCATCACTTGGCTTCAATTTAGCCAAAAATCTATCAAGTACTCAAAACATCTGAGTGAACTTATATTGTGAGGCTGAAAAACTAAGGACAAAGAATTAGGAACCTCAAGTCACAGCTATGTAAAGACTTTCAGTAACATATAAGGGAGCAGAAATCTCTGATATTTCTGTTTTGACAGTTACCAAATATAGACAGTTCACTACAGAAATGCACAAAATAAGAAGCAAACAAATTAAACCAGAGATCAGTGGCCACAGAGATCTGCTCCAAATGGATCTGTCCTTTTGCTGCCTAAGACAGACACAGAACAAGATTCTCATAGAAACAGATGCAACTTTTTCAAGCATTTTGATTAAGCAAAATAAACAGCTGTGATATAAACCAAGATGGCCAAAATGTTGTGGGGTTGGGGTAGTTTTTAAACAAAAACAGCAGGTTTTGATATCTGGTTCCACTCTGGGAGACACTGACCAAACATTGCAAATTTTCACAGCACAAAGATCTGTTCAACACAGAGTGTAGTTAAGGACTTAATCTGTGTTATAGGAACCATGAGTTTATTCATGTTCCTGCTTGAACCAGAGAACCTGGAGATTTGAACACGAGTCCCCAGAACCACAGAATATCTTTCAGGTTTCCTGACCTTGGTGGATTGCTTCTCTCTGCTCATCCACTGTCAGGTCACAAATGTTAGTTAAGTTTCATCCTAAAGTTGCCAAGAGGGATTGCCACAGGAATACTCCAGGGCATGTGCTTTTTCTGGATTGCTTATAGAAGAAAATACCTAGTCAGGCCAAACTTTAAATAAGATGGAGGAAGAATATACTAATGAACAATCAGAAGAGCTGCAACTTCTGTAATGTATACAGTGCAAATGTCATTCAAATTTGAACTATTTCCAATTTCCACAATGAAAGCAGAATTACAGGTTATTTCTGTCCTCGAGTTCTGATGAAGGGGGGCTGAAGGCCAGGGGCACTCTGCAAGCTTTGTGCAAGACTACTAGTCTAGAGAGCATGGACTGCTCTTAACATTTCTTTCCATATTTTGAGTATTTATCCATAACTATACTCTAATCAAAGTAAAAAAGGCTGTGCCAATGGCAATGTAACCTGTACCTACTGGCAGAATGGTCCTAAAACTTGTCATACTTCAGCAGAGCAAACATCTATTATTTAACAACCAGAACTAAAAATAGCAAAGCAGTCAAGCAATCATCTCTCCACTTTATGAATAGAGAAATAAGAAGCAAAGCTTAAGTAAGTTGCTCAAGGTCAGACGGCTTGTTGGAAACATCATCAAGACAGATATATAATAATATAGTAATACTGGAAACAGAACCTATTGTTCTAGAAAGCAGCTAATAAATACATTTGATGTGTTTTATCTGAACAGAAGCAGGAGCATATTTCAGGTGCTAAACATTCCCAACAAGCCCTAAAAGCACATGGCAGCTTTGTTGTGACAGTGGCCAAGCACAGCTGCCAAAGCTTCACTGAGCTTCTGCCTGTCTCCTGTAGGGCCCAACAGACAAGTGGCACCTCCTCTGCAGCAGGACTGACACCCTCTCACACCCCACACACTGCTGCTGCTCCACACAACAGCAGCTCTGGTTTTCATGGCCATTGATCCATCATTCTCACCAGCACTGACCTCTTCTCAGAGGATTAAGGAAAGAAACCTTGACTGTCTTGCTGAGTGATTATATGGAGGATACCATTTTAAAAATCAGGTTCAAAAGTTCATTTAGTATGTGGCTACAAATATAACAAGCGAAGTCATAAGAGAATCTACTGCTAGACATGTTTACTACAGTTAAAAAGATGTTATAATGAATTTTTAATGACTGTTTACACCACAATTCTTGCTAATTATCTTTTTTTGGATTGCACAGTATACAAAGATTTTCTTATGATCTTCCAGAAAATGACAGTATGTCAGAATGTAAATGGTGCAGTATCACATGGAAGAGGCAGATAACTCTGGACTCTTGCATGAGCAACTGCAGTCCCAGTGCCCTTACAGTGGCTGCTTTCCACAGCCCTCTGCTACTGGAGACCTCCACAACAGACCACTGCCATCACCTCTGCTGCTTCTTCCCATTTCTCTCTTTCTCACTGAACTGTGTTCAACTAGGCAGCCCTAAACATTTGTGTGTGGCTCTGCATGCTGTGGCTGTGACTGGTGCTACCAAACGAGTCATTCAGAGCTATAAAGCCTTTTAGTTTAATGTGCTTTCCCATTCTGCCTTGCAGCTCAGCAGCTTTCCAGCAGCACATGAAAACACAGAGCCCACCTTGCCACAATTCAGCTTAGTTTTGATTCATTCCCTCAAACTATTCTGATCTTGGATTTTTCTTTTTTAAACTACCTGAACAGCATTAAATCTACCTTTGCTAACCTAGAGTGGCTTTTCCACTGTTGACACGACTCCTCTGAACTCATCAGCAGGACAGACAAGGAGGCATCTGGAACAAAAAATTAGACCATCAGGACACTGCTGCTCTGTTCCAGGTCAAGCCACGGAGACTGCTTTGCATCCAAGACTCCTTTGTCAATCCAATGGGTGAGACCTAACCTTGGTACAAACTGATAATCCCTACCTCAGTACACAAAGTCCACCAATCTGCAGAATTTAATGCAAAAATAGTACTAGTTTAATTCAATTTTCTTAAAATGGATTTCCAAAAGCAGATGACTGGTTAACCTCCTACTTCTTTAGTCCCTTCTCCAACGATACTTAGAAACACCTACCCCAACTCCCATTTTTTTGCCACAGAAATATCTGGTGTTAAGAGTTTTACAAGTGCAATTTTGCAATTTGCCCTTTTGCCACTGAAGACTCACAAAACAGTGAAGACCTTAACACACTTGCTTTGTATCCACAAACATCAGTGAGGAATAAAATGGACAAAAATGTCATTTTGCATTGCTATTTCAGTTGGGTGCACCCAAGAACATTTATAAAGAGGTAAAATGGGGTCCCAAGTTTTTTTGCAATACAACAACAAATTAAGACATTTTAAGGCGAGAGGATCCAGTGCCATTTGAATCAGCCTTTGATAATGTGACTTTAAGAAGTACCCTTAGCCAGCTCAGCCATACAGCTGAACACATTCTATTTGATAGTGTCCAGATAGTTGTCTATGTCATCCTTTTATCTCACCCACTGGTACTTCTGGATGAAATGCTGAAGGTAGAAAGTCAAGATAAGCACTCCCTTCCAGTTTTAAGATTTATGAACTCAAGACTCTGATTTAAAGAAACTCCCAACCTGCTCACTATTAAAAACAAACAAAACCTCTTTCTGAGTTAGTGCTCCCCAGAAATAATCTCTTATCACTGCCTAGATCTTGTTATTTTAATGCACAAAGGAAGACAATGTTTTTGCATTTCAAAGGCTTTTCCCTCTTCAAAAAATGATCTCTCTGTCCTAAGTAGTACAGCAGAGCTAACAGGACCTGTAGTGTTGCACATTTCTGGGAAGGTACCCAAGATGGTATGCAACTTTTGAGGTTAGCAAAACTTTAAAGAAAACCAGAACCAAACCGACCAAAAATCTGATGATTCTCACAGACCGGGAAAAAAACGTGACATTTGTCTGCCAGGTTCTGTGCAAATATGCACCTCAATCCAGTTCCTTCCTTAAAATGTAATGCCAGCCATGGAAACAACAATAAAAGCAATTATCATTGTCATTAAAGGCCTAAAGAGCAGTGGAACTTGAAGGCACAATAAGCTTCTTGCATGGTCTGATCTGGGCAATACATAATCCTACATTTAATAAAATCATGCTTACAAAAACAGTCATCCTTCTGTGCCATACCACCTATACTGACAGTTCTACAAAGGGCAATCACAGCCACTTGCTGCTGGAAACAGGAGGTCAATATTCCATGGAAAACAAACATCAAACCCACATCATGTATTTTTTTTTGCAATGGCAACTAACTGTGATCGCATTTAGTGTCAGTACCTTAAAGCACTGCTAAGGAAAGGCTTCATAATAGCTGTTAGTCTCTAGAGCCATCTATTTTGGTCTTGCAGTTTATTAAATATTGAAAACCATTCTGGAGTTGTACTTACCAAAATGCAGTCCACTTTAGATTGTACAGTTTTGCTAGATGTGAGGGAAGAGAGAGAGAAAAGAAATATTGAATTAATCTAAACAGCAATGACAAAGCCATTACATATCAGAATCTCTATCACTATACTACAGGCTTTATCACTTACAGTTAAATACCCTTCTGGTTTATGGAATAATACTCATCCAGCTATTTTTATGTTGAAAGTCACCCAAACTTAACTGCTTGTTAAAATTCTTGTTGTTTTGTTCTTTTCTATAAGAACTGTATTTTTTAACTAAATACCATTGCAACTGGGAGCTATTACCCAAGTTGTAATGCAGCCAGGATGGATGTCACTACTTTTATTGTAAGTTCTTCAACGATTCAGATGCATTTGACTTGTTTACCTGTAAACACAATTAACATCCCCCTCTCCCCACGCTTCAGTAAATCCCACCATTCCAAGGCATTTATTTCTAGCTTTCCAAAGAGCTGCTACAAAGCAGAGAACTGTTATTCTACTGGCAACTTTGGAGTTTTCCAAGTTAGTCTCTCTACCTCCCAGCTGGCTTGTTAAGATGACATTGGGTGGGGATTGAATTGAAGTCTGTCAGAAATGACCCCAGTGTATGTGCCAAGGCCAGCAAACTGTATGGAATTTATTAGACTTCATATAAACACACTCATAAGCAGCTTTCATGTTTCTTAAGGGTGCTGTACTTCACATGCCTGGTCTGACTGCATCAGTTGAAGGCATTTTATCTCTGCTCTCAAGAGGAACAGAAGCTTTCACACACAGAAAGCCCCAGTCTTTACTTCTGGACACCTACTGAACAAGCACCAAAAAACTGCTGTTTGGAGTTCAGAGAGCAATTCTTTTCCCCATAGAATAAAACATGATTCAATATCCTATTAACACAACAAAATATCTCACTGGCAGTTATTTTACTTTTGTACAGGTGCCACCACAAACAAAGCTAGACCCAGCCAGTCATCTGATGGATGTATTAAAACCATAAGTAAGAAACAAACAAAAGAAATGGCTCTAATGTCTGGTGGTGACAGGAACCAGCACCTACCATTGCATCACATGCTCAAAGGAGGCAGGGGTTTGGTTGTCCTGCTCGTTACACCACTTCATTTTGATACTAGACAGTCTAAAAATCTGTTTTGTAAAGGCTGCTAATACTGATGCCCCTTCCCATACAAGAACTACTCATGCTACAGTGACAGAACACAATAAAATATTTCAACAGGTCAGAATATTTGACAAGTCCCCTGAGGAGATACATAAACAGAAATCTGCTTCATGTAGGGGAAGCCAAGAGATGGGTAGACACTCAGGAACACCAAGGAGACACTAAAGCAGGACTCCTGGGGATCTGTAAGAACAGGGAATGCTAAGGACGGTCAAATGGGAGCTTTTCCTTGCCTTGGGAAAGATGCTCACACATACTGCAGCATCTGAAGAAGGGAACTTAAATGTCACCTCACCCATCAAAACCCACCATCTTACCAGAAAAGTCAAAGGACACCAAGCATGGAAACCTGCTGCTGCTGCTGAACACTGTCACTGTGTCTGACCCAAAGCCCAGCCAAGGCTGCTGACACAGCTGCTCCAGCAGCACTTCTCTACCCTGCACTCCACCTCACCCACTGCCTCCGACCCCTGCAAGGTCTCACAATCCCTGTGCTGCTACAGATCCACAGCCTCTCCTGCAAAGCATTAGGCTACAGGAATCAGGCACATATGCCAATTTTTGTACATAAACCTTTTCTGTGGCTTCACATGATAGCTTATGCAGAGAAGGAGCATGGAGAGTAAGGGAATGTTTGTTACTGACATAACAAACTTAGTCCAAATACAGCCTCTACTCTCCAGACTTGCAGACAACATCATGTTCTGGGCTTTTCAGGAGAGCACATTCCAGCCAGCTCGGCTTCTGTCCTGTTACAGGTTCTGCCAAACGGAGCATCAACACACCCAACTGCATTAATGTTTTCTTCTTGCAAAGAGAAAGAGGCAAGTTGCCAGGAGGCAGCTGGGCAGGAGATCCCCAGAGCTGTCCTTTTATCTCCAAATATCAGTCTGAGTCAGGAAATGCAAACTCTCAAATTTAGCTCAGGCTCTTCCCGCTGTGACCTCTGCTCCTACAGCCCCGATCACCAGCGTCAAGGAGCCGCAGCAGAGGAGCAAGAACGAGGCCAGGAAATGCAGCTTCGCTATGTTTCCTTTTCGCCAACTGGTGGCACAAAAAGGACAGTCAAGTTCATCTCCTCCAATCTGCAAGCAGATGTTGTGACATTTTAAAAGGCAAAGGTCCCACGGCTTCAGCAGGGATAAGCATGATCTCTATTTAAACAGCAATTGTTTTTCATCTCCTGCCCCACACTCTGAGAACACTGGGAGGACACCATTAAAATCTGTTAGTGGTAAAATGAGGTTTCTTTCTTCCTAACCAGAGCACAGGTTAATGTGCCCTAGTTCTAGAAAGCCTGTGCCTAATGACAGAAACGCTTCTTGTTTCCCTTCCAGTGAAGGTGATGCACGTCAAAGTCAAGCAATGACAACCCTGAAGAACGAGCCCTTTGACCAGGAAGGTACTGGGACAGTGACCTTCTCGTGGTCCTGAGCGCTGCACAGCAATGCTCCATCTGGTGACACTGCAGAACACATCTCCATCGAATCAGAAGGTAAAAGGACAGGTGGCAAAGGGACAGCCATCCCAGTTACACCAACCACCTGGGTTTATTTCATCCCCACTTCTTCTTTCACTAACAGGACAGATATGCTTTGAAAGCTGAAGTTTCATTTACCAACAAATAAGTCTGCTTCTGTCTCTGTCAAATTCATCCCTTATCTAATTACTACTGCAATTACAGTCCCTGCAAACAGCAATCCCAACAACAAGGCAGAATCAGGCCCTACACAGAGCCAATTCTAACATCTGGAGGCCACTACCCACACACTTTGCTACAAGTCCAGGAATAGCTGCAGGAGAGCAGAAGGAACGAGAGATGTTCTTTCTAATGAAAATAATCATCTGAAGCTATTACAGACCTGAGCCCATTGGAAACTAAACTCAGAAACTGTACCTTAAGCACTCAGCCAGAATTGCTTCTCCTGGAGAGCTGCTCCAGGGAGCTCATTGTGACTCACCCCCACCCAGAATCACAGCTGATGTTACTCTCTCTTTCACAGCTCTTCACGCTGACAGCCTCCCTGAAGTGAAACTAGTTCATTTACTTGATCCAAAACTTAATTCAGGTTACTCCAAGCAGTTTCATCCCGGACAAGACTTCTGATTCTGGGAGCAGCTGTCTCTTATGAGCAATAACAAAGGTGGCTGCTTTTACAGCTGCCTTGGATTTACCAGCTTGAGCCCAATGACCCAACAAAAGAATCTTAGAGTATAAAATTTTCTATCAAAACTTTGCCCCCCTCCAAAAAACCCTCCCAAAAATTAATGACACTATCACAACCAGCAATGAGATGTTTGCTCAGGGGGTACCATTGTACTGACTGTTTCAAAGTTCAGTCTCTCAGTCACAGAGTAACTCAAGAGGGACATAAGCCTGTTGCACCGTCTACAGCGATGCTCCTCAAAATGCCAGCACTGCTCCAAACACCACCAGTCTGGAGCAATCTGGTCATCTACCAACAGCCACTCAAAAACATGAGCCCAGCTTCTACTAATGAGTAAAACAGCAGAGAAAAGAAGGTTTCTCAGTCTGTGTCTGGAGAAGCAGCACAGGGCTGCTTGCTGCAGAAGCTGCTGTATTTGGAGACCCTTCGTCCTACAACTGCCCAAAAAACACGTGTTGGCTGCTTTGGGTCTGCACCAAAAAGCCTTATGGGAGAGCCTACACCTTAACAGCCTCAGCTTTTGACTTAACCTGTAGGGGCAAGATGTTTGAGAGATTTTTGAAGGTAACTTTTGAAGGCTGTAGCAATTAAAGCTCCAAAATCCTGAAGCCACGTTGACAAACTCCTGAAATTATCTTCAAGAGAATGAAAAGGGGAGAAATCAGACTACTTCCTCAAACTGCCCTTCTATCTTATGCCAAAGTATGCATTTCTGTTTTCCCTGACCTATTTATGTATTTCTGCTCAGAGAAAACCCATTTTAACTGCCCCACCTTGGCATGGGCAGAATGAGGAGTGTGTTCTCTCCCCAGGTGAGCAGCTGGGTTTAGTTTACACTGAGGGAGAGGTAGAAGGGGAAAAAAGCAGGAGGAAAAGGCAAAAAGATGCAACTCTTTTTTCCAAGTGGCATAAAACCAGATGCTGCCATCCTTCCTCTAATTAAGCAGTACTCTACTTTCAGCAATAGGTAGCTGAACTGCACTGAGCAAAATGGGAATATCATATTACAAGAGGTGGCAGAATTCAGTTGCTCTGAGCACATCAAGTACTTCCTTTAATGCTGCAAATAGTAGAAGCCATATAACCACAAGGGATAAGAGAAGCCTTATGTCTGTGAGACCAGAAAGAGGGAGGTTTTTGAGAGGAGTAAAAGAAAGCCCTCAAATTTATTAGCTACTGCCTGCTTAACTCTGAGCCTTCTCAAAGCACTGAAACTAAACCCCCAGGTTTCCAGCTGAGAGCATTCAGTCCCTGTGAAAAGGCAGCAGCATCACAAACACCGTGGCAGCACCCACATGTGCACAGTGAACACACATGAACACCCACCCCTGCAGTCACAGCTCCTGTCCTGGGACACACTGCGCAGCGCAGGATGCTGCAAAGGGGGCTCCTGGGTTGAGTCCCTGGCAGAAGTGGGACAGCAGCACTTCCAGGACACTGCAGTTCTGCAGGGGGCATGTCCCAGCCACAGAAGTTACACAGGACTGGCTCTCAAGTGGACTCATTCCTCCAACAGAGGGAGATCTCAACAACAGCAACAGATCCAGTTCAGCCAAACTCAGTGGACAAGTGAAGCCACAATTTATTGTGCCAAATACAGTAATGGTTTAACTCAGTGGTCAAACGTGGGAAGCCCAGAGTGATTTTTTTTCATTAAAAGTTTGGTGCCATCAAGGAAATTGCCAC